TTACCCAAAAAGCCTCGCACCTACTTTTCAATCCTTAGTCGTGGCATTTCTAGAATGGCCTTGATTTTGGAAGAATCTACTTCGATGCCCCTCTATGTGATCAAGAAGCCCAGCATTTTCCCTACTATCACGTCGAAAGTACACTTCTGTGGGTTCAACCTCAGTTTGTATTCTCTGATCCGTTGAAAGAATTTCTTCAAGGCGGTGTAGTGGCCCTCTCTTTTCTTAGACTTGACAATCATTTCGTCCAAGTACACCTTGACCTCTTTGTGGATCATATCATGCAGAATAGTGGTTGCAGCCCATTGATAGGTAGCCCCGGCATTCTTCAGCCCAAACGACATCACCCGATAGCAGTAGGTTCCCCATGGCATAGTGAAGGCTATTTTCTCTCTGTCCTCGGGTGCTATCAGAATCTGGTTATACCCGAAAAGCCCGTCCATGAAGGAGAGCAATGCATGACCCGTGGTGAAGTCTACCAACTTTTTAATATATGGCAGGGGAAAATCATCCTTCGAACTAGCCTTATTTAGATCCCTGAAGTCAACACAGACTCTGATTCTGCCATCCTTCTTTGGGACTGGAACAATGTTGGCCAACCACGTTGGATACTTAGACACAAGCAAGAACCCTACCTCAATCTGTTTGGTAACTTCTTCCTTAATCTTCAAAGCCCAATCCGTGCGTATTCTCCACAACTTCTGCTTGACGGGTTGGGCATTAGGGTCGAGAGGGATCCCATGCTGTACAATCTCAAGATCGATTCCAGGAATGTCTTCGTAGCACCATGCGAAAACATCTTTGAAATCTTTTAATAAAGCGACTAAGCGCTCGCGCTCCTCCGAAGACAACGTGGACCCGATCTGGACCAAACACGGATCCTTCTCAGTACCCACATTAAAAGCAATGATTTCATCAGCAAGGGGTTTTGCAAATCTCTCCTTCTCTCGATTAATCAAAATTTTCAAAACCAGAGAAATTCCTTCCTTATCGTTTTCATTAAAATTTTAAAAATCTTGATCAATACAATACGCAAGCGGTATAGAGAAATACTCAGAATCAACAGCAGCATTCTCATTCATAAAGTCCAACTCATTCAGCTCTTCAGTTATAACCGACTCAAAAGCAAAAGAAAAGGAGGACCTGGACAAGACCTTGGCATCTGGGTTATCACCCCCAGGAATACAGAACTCAGACTTAGAAGAACCAGAATTTGATTCTAACTCCACAGACTCTGTGGAATCAGATTCTGGCTCACTACCCAACTCAGAACTAGACAAGTAGCCCTCCTCCAGTTGCCAAACGAGAGATGGTGCTTCAGATGCATCCAAAATGCTACTAGATGGGTTCACCCCTGGTTGGTTCTCGATCATGGAGATGGTCAGGTTATCCCCTAAGCTCTCTAAGTCGAATGGAGAATCTGAAAGTAGACATGCCAGTGCTGCTCCTACTTCAAGCTCACTGTTGTTTGAGTCACTTTCTATGCTCTGTTTAGCTTCAGCACTTAGTTCAGCCTTTTCCTCGGCATCACTACCTTGCAACTGCAGGTTGAAGAAGATTTCGAAGCCAAGGACACGCTGCTTCGCAGAATTCATCTAGGGCTCAAGAAAGTCACAAAATGGAAAGTCTTCACCCTGCCGAACAAAATGACCATTTAACTTTCCCCGGATCAACCTATGAACAAGCTCATAGCGTTTCCCGGCCTGCTTGGCTCTAGCTCTGCCTACCATCTCTTCTTTTTTCGTGACCCAATCCTCTTTGGTGGGCGTATAGCTAAGACCAAAGGCATGTGGATTATGCAGCACATCGGCCAATGTTGTGATGCATTTCCGGCCGCTTCTTCCTAACCCCATTCCTGGCACATGTTAGAGCTTGTTCATGAAATAGGTTGATTGGGCGCTGACATACAAGCCCTCATCAGCTGCCAAGATGTTCTGCATTGCCCGGGCCTCGACTAAAGTAACCCTAAAAGGAATACATCCTCATCGCCATGAACAATCTCCAGCACTAGTGTAGTTACCTCTGGCGGAGGATGTATGGACGAATTCACGAACACAATAGTCACTCCCTTCCCGTGAGGGTATTTTAGCATTTGGTAGAGGGTAGAAGAGACTACTTTCACCAAGTGTAGCCAGGGTCTTCCGAGCAGCAAGTTGAAGGTGGCCGGGACATCTAGGACATAAAACCTGACGTCCTGTTGAGCTGGGCCCACCTGAACTCAGATTTGTACTGTGTCCATTACCTCACTACTTGTGTTGTCATATGCCCAAATCACTTGGGCTATGGGCACGAAATCTGCTTGTTTCAGACCGATGGCATAAGCTGTAAGAGACGGACAGACATTGATAGCCGACCCAGTATCGACCAACACCACTGGCACCCATTTTCCTCTACACTCAACAGATATGTACAAAGGTTTGTTATGTACTGAGCCTTCTGGCGGCAGTTCTTTCTCAAAAAAGGTTAGGGTTGGGCTGGCACCACCTGGGAAAACTAATCCCATCAGTTGTTCAGGGGTGGTGTCAATGGACAGTTTAGCCTTGTCCATTGTTGACAACACAGCCTGCCGATGCACTCGAGAGGCCATAAGAAGACCCTAGATCGAAATGTCGGCTTGGATTTTCTTTAGTTGCTTCAAAACTGCCTCTTCCTCCAACTGCTTCTCTTTCTGTTTTTCTACCTCTCTATCTTTCCCAGAGGCCTTGGCTTGGTCTGAATGTGGGGGCTTGAAATACCACATCTTCGTCATGTGATCTACCTCTTCAGAGTACCAGGTATTATCTGGAAGGGATTCACCCCAATCCTCGTCTGTGTGGGCTAGAAGTAGATTGCCATCCTCCCACCATATACCTCCAATAACCGACAAACAATTATCCGGTTCCGTTCTAATCATTCTTACATCAGAAATATCCCCCATTGGGTGTTGGGCTTTTCCAGCTTCCTGTTTGTCTTGATCCCTTTCTTGCACAAACTGCTTTAACGCAACTTCTTGTTCGGTGTCCGCAATACTCACAGTGTTTTATTCTTGAGCTAAATTCTCGATGTCGGTACTCTCCGATAGTTGCCCGTCTTCATTATCCATTCCGACCACTGTAGCTATTCTTGTTTCCTTTTCTTCTGATTTTGTTTCAGTTCCTTCCTCCCAATCAGGTTCATCAGTTAACCACCCTGAGTTATCCGTCGACCCATTTAAATCAAACCAGTCAATCTGCGCATCCCCTTGATCTTGTTCATCATAGAACTACAGATTGTCTAAGTCCTCCTCTAGTTCTGCTAGATCATCCAAACCTTGGCTCTGGTCATCCTCCCTAACTACATTGACCTCCACTGCTGTTAACAATACCACTTCTGGCTTAGCCTGATCAACTCGTACAATGTAACAACACGGATTATACACCTCCTTAGTCAAATCCTTAGAGCATTCAGGCAGCGGACTTATACTCTCCTCTAAGGCTAGCCTCCATTCTTCTGCCACTGTCACGACCACGGGTTTAGGTTGGAGTACGGACGTGTCCATCATACACAAATTTGTGCTTTCAGGAATGAACACCGCCGGTTTGGGTAGGTGTGAAGGGGTAATATATACATTGGGGTCGTAGGGAAGGGCCAGTGTATGGATTAGGTTTAGATTGTGAGGTGGAGGAACTTGATTGTGGGCCGGGAGAGAGTTAGTTGTTACATTTGGCTTTTGGAGTGGTGCGATCACCTTGTTGTCGATGAGATCTTGAATCTGCTGGTGAAACACACAGTACTTGGCTGGGTTATTTTCGGTGGGAGAGGATCAGGTAGTGGGCGAGGCTCTAACGGCTGAGGTGCCCCTTTTTTATCAGCACCCTCAGGGCTTGGGATAAAGGCATGTAGAGTGGGATAAAGGTCCTTTGGGATCGGGCCTGGCTGTTTGAAGTTTGCGGGGTTGTACTGGCAAAAGGATTAGCAGTCTTGGTTATGGTGGTGACAACACTCCCATCAGATGGCCGCGTAGTTGTGCTTCCACTAGTGGTTGCATTGGAACTGCACACAAAAGGTCTCTTGGCCTACTCTTTCTCATCAGTTATCAACCCCTGTTTCATGGCATCCTCAATTTGAACCCCCATCTCATGAAGCTCGGTGAATGTGAACAAGGGTAGGACTATCATTTTCTGCAACAATTTTCCGTGTAGATTACGGACTACCATCCTTATCTGGTCTTTCTCTGAAGGTCGTACAGTCATCATTGAAGCCTTAACCCTCTACCTTGTCACGAATTCTGAAAAGCCCTCCTTTGGTTCTTGGCGCATTGCCTCGAGATCACGGGTTATGACCTCGATTTGTGTGTTGTAGGAGTATTGTGGAATAAAGGCCTCAGCCATTTCCTCCCAACTCTACTTCACAGAATCCTCCAGCTTTGCGTACCAGATAGCTGCTATTCCAGACAAGATCCGGCCAAAAAGAGACAGCTTTTGAAGTCTAGTGAGGCCCGTTGGTCGTAGAATGTCTGAAAACAGCCGAAGATGAACCATGGGGTCTCCAGAGCCATCGAATCTATCAATATGCAGCATTTTGAACTAGTCTGGCAATGTCACCGCAAAGTCAGTATATCCATCTTCGATGAAAGGGATAGAGTTCACGCCTTGTGCCCGCTTGAAAAGTTTCTCCAACTTGTTGACCTTAAGCATAGTCGGGTCAACTTCAAATTCAAATGACGCCTCGGTTTGGTACACTGGTGCCTTGGAGGCTTGTGGTGAAATGGGGTCTACCGGATTGCCCTGATTCTCAGCCTAGGCATTAGCAATATGGACTGTGGCTCTAGGTGCTGGGATACCTGTAGGAGGTGCATGAGATGCTGAAGCTGTTGCTAGCTGTGGCTGTTGTTGTTGCAGCCTATTGATGACCTCAGCCTGACATGCCGTGACTTCGGCCTGACGAGCAACGTCTTGCTGCATGGTTTCAACTGTTTGTTGAAGGTGGTGGATCAAGTCCTCCATGCTGACCGGGGGATATTGAGCCATCGGAATGGGTGAATGATCTCAGACCGAACTGGATGTAGAAGACTGAGCCTGACTGGATGCAGGTAAAGTAAAGGGTGACTGCTGGACTGGTGAATTGTGCCTAACTCTTCTCTATCTGGTTACCGGTGGGAGCGAAGCAAACATAGGTTGTCCCCTAACAAGATCTTCGGATCTGTAAAGCCTCTTGACATGGGTCTAGAGCGCTTGAAAGATATCCAAACTGTCTGAAGCAATTGTGATAAACTACTTAGCAAAAAGAAATAGAGCAAAAAGAAAGCCAAAAAAAAAAATCAGAAACCACACAGCACCTCAGCTCAGATGTTAACCACACACAGATGTAATCAAACTTGTAGGACTGCACTCAAACACTGAATTCTGGCCCCCAAAACTGATACCCAACTTGCAATTGATACGCATATTCCTATACAGTTTCACTGTAAAGCACATACCAGTTAAGTAAACAAAACACCCCTATGAGGGGGGTAGGGTTACCTTGTTCTAGTTTTGTCAGGAACTAGGGTTCACTATTCAAACAAAGCGGTTTCAAGCAATCCTGCATTTGGGTAAGCATCCTATCCTGGTTTGAAACAATTTATATGGCTTTCGATATGCAACTAGGCCAAATGGTCAAAAAGGGTACCTCGGCAAGACTACTTAATATACATCTCACACCTAACACCAAAAAGTGAAAGGCGGATCAAACGGTACAACGGTAATCCAGATCCAAGGGTTGTGTTCCCATCATGGCAAAGCCCGTGACCGATAACCGTCCAGGAATTATAGATAGCAAACACAATGACTTAAACGCACTAATGCAAATGCAATGCAAAGAAACATATAAATGTAGATAAAATTTCATATCATGAGTTCAAGTCATGTTCTCTAAATCCCCAACAGAGTTGCCAGAAACTGTAGCTCGACTTTTTCATAGCCCCCCTTTCGGAAGTTCGAAATATAGCCCTACAGCTCGAACTCTCGCAGTTCTGAATCTAATCTCACAAGTGCAATGTGAAATTGATAAAAACCAAAGAGTCCAAATTTGGCAAATCTTTTGAAAAATCGATTTTGAATCAAAAAAGTTAAAATTGGACTGCTTTGCCAGATATAGAGTCGCCACCTAAATATTTTATTTTGGAAAAATTTAGGAAACCCATGACTCGTGCCAAAAGCCATGTATCCGTCATCACCAAGATTGTCTCGTCTCGGGAACTTAGGTACGAAAGGGGAAGGTCATGAATTGAACACCCCTGCTTGCCCGATCAAAGATCAGCCTCTACTAATCATGATATGATTTTTATCACATTCTATGCTTTTGTTTCGGTTTATTAGGCTAGCATTTACTATGTGATGCGCGCACATAAGGTATAGACTAGTTTGCTGGAATTGGAACAATTTCAATTTCATGTTTGTTTTCCGAAAAGGGTTTGAATTTGCCACTTGGCAAAATGGGCTTAAAGCTTGTGAATTTGCCACTTAACAAAGTGAGCTTAAACATACATTCATTGCATCATTCAAATTCAAGCAACAAGCCTTCATCCACAGGCACTCAAACAGTTTAACAAGTAAGCACTTAGCTTCATGGCAAGTACACTAGTCATGGCAGTCATTCACACTCATGCAAGCATGCTAAAGCATTAAAAACTCACCTAGTACTCCAAGCTAAGATAAAACAAAAGAGTTAGCAAAATATATGCATGATACCTAACTACACAAGATGGCTAATGCAACACATGCAAAAATTCAACTAAAATAGGCTCGACTACTTAACATGTTATTTGTACAATTTCATACCATGCGTTTAAACACGTATTCAAAGAAGTATTAAACTAACAATGCAATTAGAATGATGGACTGAGCCTCAGTGTATGTAAGAAAAATGAATGGATGCAAACATACGATATGCTAATTAAAACATGATGTCCCTAATTTAACCATCAAAAGCGGATAAATAAAAAGGAAAAAGATGTGGAGTTGGAAGCCATACACATTTTTACAACATTACGCTCTCACGAAGGAGAGTCCGAATGAATAAACTAGCTAAGCTAAACTACTTAACTAATTATTACAAAACTTGAATAAATAAGCTAGCCATCTAAGCTAATTAATTATTACAACAATGACGAACTAATTTAATTAACTACTTTAAACTAATTAAATAAGTACAATACGAAGCTAATTAGCTAACTACATTAACTAATTAATTACAAAGCAACTAATTAAACTAGTTAACTAATTAATTACAACATGAATTAACTTAAATAACTAATCTAATTAAATAATTACAACACTTTAATTAGATACAACACATTTCTGACTAACTAATTAACTAGTCCCAGGAACGAGGGAGACCCAATGCATGCTCGGTTTCCACCCGAAGAATGTCCACTGTTTGCTCCCAAATGCCTCTGTTGCACAACCTTTGCACTAGTTTTCCTCTTCCAGATCAAGTCTGCTCTGCTTCATAAGCATTCTGCTCAAAATTCACTCGTGGCCGGCCGGCCACCAATAAGGGGTTGTCGTCCAACACTGATGGCCTGCAAGCCAGGAACAGTGGCCGGCCGACCACTGATGATGCACTATTTCTTGCTATAACAGAGAGCAAACAAAGCAAAGAGATGGTATTCTCACAGGTTGTTTATACTGTGTATCCCTCCTTATCATCAAAACAAGCTCAAATGAGTGATACACTTGGTTCAAAAACCATCAATCAAGAAATTTCATTGCATGATGGCTAAAGAACTAAGGTGTACAAGTTAATAAATGTGCAAACAAGACCCACAACCTTCACCCTATCATGCATGATCAAGGGCAATGGAGACGTAGGAACGTTGGCATATTTCATCACTTTGAGTATGAAATGCCCCAATTTTCCTTGTGTTCAATAAACATCCGATTGAACACACCAAGACACGACCAAATTCTTATCTTTGCACAATTTTAGTATGAAATGCCCCAAGACATGATCAAGGGCAATGGAGACGTAGGAACGTTGGCACATTTCATCACTTTGAGTATGAAATGCCCCAATTTTCCTTGTGTTCAATTAACATCCGATTGAACACACCAAGACACGACCAAATTCTTATCTTTGCACAATTTTAGTTTCCACTTTTAGTTACTCATTTTAATTACCCTTTCATTCTTTAACCAATTAAGTCGATTGATGAGAAGTCCTCTAAAGAGAAGGAAGTGTCAAACAAGGGGTAGTGTAAGGTAAGAGAGAGGTGTCATGCCATTGATAATGAACCCCCAAAAGAGGATTAAACCATTAAGCACGGACCTCAATCTCAAGCTTAAACAATCCTAAGGTTGAAACAACCCTCAAAGCAAACAAAGAGTCAAGAAATGAGAGAGGTTGCAGAGATTATGCTTGCTGAAATTAAGTGAGAAAAGCACTAAAACATGCAATCAACTCAAACAAATGGTGTCTAAAGGCCTAAAACACCAAGCTTGTGAGGACACTTATACTAGAAGCATGCAAAACAAGACTCAAATGCAAAAACTAGCCAAAAACAGAGGCAAAATAATCTAAAATACAACCTAAAACATGCTGAAATTAAGCTACAAAATGCTAGAAAAATATGCTAACACATAAAACTAACTAAGCTAGCAAACAAGACACAATGAGAGAAGGCTAACCCCTCCAAATCTGGATTTCAAAACATGATTTTCACCACTGAAAATACTCTGAAATTCAGTGATCAAAAGCCCCAAAAAAAGACGGTTTAAAAGTGGGAAACAAATGTGGAAAGGCCTTACAAATAAGGAAGAAAAAATGGTGAACCACCCCCTAACTTTAAATGGCCTACAACCACCAATTTCAACCCACAAAAATAGAGTTTTTAAAGCCCAAAAACAGCCTAAAATCAGTGGGAAAATGTCACGACCCAAACCCGCCCCTATGGGTTTAGCACCGTAACCGGCCAGTAATCCAAGATTATCGAAGGCCTGCTTAACAGTAATACAGTAATACAGAGTACAAGGGCTGGCGGAAGCCAATACAGTAAATAAACAATGTCCAATGAGCTGTGACAGTCTGTATGCAAAAAGACTTTTCATTCAAATATATACAGTCGGACAAAACAGTATGTACATATATACAATCATTCAGTTCAGGGACCTAATCCCTATTAAACAGTACAGTACAGTAAACAAAACAGTTACAGAGACAGAAGGGGGAACTAAAACCCCCCTAAGCCATAACTCGACAGGCTCGGAACCTCGCAGTGAGGCACAGTGGTTGGCTTGACAAAACTGGAGCTTACCCCGACGCTTCTAACCACGGTTTGGTGCCTGTACACCTACATATATATATGAGCAGTGAGCTAAAGCCCAGTGAATAACACAATACGTAAAGGGGTTAAGAATGAATGTCCTTATAGTAATGAAAACAGTTCATTAAATCAGTATTTCAGTTGTTCAGTCAGTACAGTCATATGTGGTACATCCATTAGCATAACAGTACAGTAAACAGTAGGTCTTAAAAGACCGAACAGTAAATGATGGCCATCAATCAGTAAACAGTAGTGGTTCCAACAAGGGAACCGACAGAGATCTCTGTAACAGTAACAGTAAACAGTAGTTGCTAAGGATACCACAATACAGTTCAGAATATAGGACATTCATTCATTCTATTAACAGTATCAATTCAGAAACAGTACAGTTCAATTGTTCAGAAGATAGTCAATTTTTGAACATATCTTTACACAGTTGTTACTCACAGAGTTGGGCTACAGTAAAGCTAGAGCGCATCCCCAGTCGCCAACCCTACACAGTTCAGATTGAACACACACTAAGCTACACAGTTGGAAAGATAATAACTTAATTCCTAATTTGCCTCGGTGTGTTCTACATCTATATCCTCATTAAGATGCCTTAACTAGGCCTAGCAATACCTAGGATGAGATGAGGATGTAAGATGCACTTTAAAAAGCATTTTCAGAATTCAGAAAACGGGATCACGCTCGAGCTCAGGTTACTCGGGCTGCAGCTCGTCAGAGCGGACATGCAGACAAAGGTTTCCGCTCGAGGCGTAGAATTACCCGCTCGAGCGTTCTGCAAAATAGTCAAAAGTGCTAGATAGGTGAAAATCAACGCTCGATTGGGCGCTCGACAACCCGCTCGAGCATAAGACACAACATCACGCTCGAGCGTCCATTATTCTCTCGAGCGGGACTTCAAAACAGAACAAATGTGCTGGGGAGCACGATGTCCATCGCTGAGGCCATACACCCGCTCGAGCAATGAGTCCAAATTCTAGAAATTCCAGATTTTGTAACCTCAAGCTCAAAATCAAGTTTTAAACCATAAATTTCGATCCTCTTGGGCCAATTTTCCAGAAAACATCCCAAAACTCATACTTTAACATGATTCAAAGCTCAATTTGTAAAATCAAAGCCCAAGGGTGTTTCAAACAACTCAATTTCAAACCAATTTTCATGAATATGAAGAATATGCAAACATGCATGAATTTAAATCATTTCAAAGCTTTAAATACAAGCTCAAATGAGCTAACTCTTACAAAAACAAGATGAAAACATGGACTTAACATAACCATGAGCATGCATTTGACAATTCTCTATGGAATCAACTCAAAATTCAATAGTATAGGCATGCATGCATGAATTAAGCTATAATTCAACAATTAAGAGCCATAACTTGGCTCTAGACTTCAACTTGCTCAAAACCATGCAAGAATCAATTCAAAATATACACAAGAGGCAATGAATCTACCTTAGGTCTTGTAGTTCAAGATGTACAAGCTCAATTTTGCAAAGAACTCTTCAATTTACTTCAATTACCAAGCAAAACAACATATGGTCGGACTGACATGAAAGGGTAAAATCTTGGAATTATATGATGTCAAGTGTCTTACATTACCGTTGTCCATTTTACTGTACTGTTCTCTGCATAATGAAGTCACGTTAACTGATAAAAAGAAGCATAATGTTTGCATCTGTCAGCCAATCTTCTGCGTGTTTTAGGGGAGGTTTATTGATTAGTATATTTACAGACACCCACACCCACACACACACATATATATACATGCAAGTATCTTTGTACATTTTTTTCTTTTATGTGATAAAGGGCATGCTTCATATGCTGTTGGAGTATTGGGTAAGCTATGGATGTATATGATAACAAGTCTTAAAAAATGGACACCTACCACAAAGCAAGAAGAAAGCAAACTAAAGAAGAAAAGCTACCACAAGTCTTAGTATATTGAAATGAAGATAAAGAAGAAAAGCTTCAATATTAGGAAAGCAAACTAAGCAAAGCAAGAAGCTTGTGGCCACACCATCCTTTGCAGCCCTAAAAAAACTGAACAGCATATCATTATGATGTAGGGTCATGTTACCATAACCTGACAATCTGTGGTTTATTGTTGCAATATCATAGATGCAACTATAGTTGCACTTGGCCAATGCCAAGTTTTTGTTCTGAGTTGTGTGCAAGATTCAAGTTAGAATTGCTCGAGGGCTAGCATATGCTTTTGTTGTAGTTAGAAAGGTATTCAACTGATAAAAAAGAATTTTTTTTAGCTTTCCAATGCTATTAGTGGTTTTTAAAAAAGGTAGCGTTTTCTTTCTTTTCCCTTGTATGTAAAGTCCAAGAAGACCTGTTTTTGTTTTATGAGTTGTCTGAAGTCTCTCCTCATTTCTTTAATATCCGTCAGATAAGCAATCAGATAGTGTCACTTTGGGTGATAAAATTTGCAACAAGTTTTTTGGCCATCCACCAAGTCTTTTGAGTCTTTCATCTCCAGCGGAATGCCTCTTCCCACTTTCTATACGTCTGCCTTGTACATATATATATTCTTGCTAAGGTTATCCAACAATGATAGAGCCTGGATTCTTATCTGAATTTACATTTAATGTTCATTGTTGCTGACTGATGTTCAACAATTTACTTTGTAAGCTACTTTTACCTTAATATATGGAATCCTTTCCATCTGTACATTAGTTTCAGTTGCAATTAACTTTTCTAGTACATGTTGCTGACATTGAATTCCATATTATTTGTCTCCATTTAATTAATTTCAAAACGTTTAGATTTTGAGGCACTCTTCTACAATTCTTTCTTGTTAAATATCATCTCTAGTATAGTTGTTCAGCACATATGACATAAAGTCATCTTATAGAAAACAATTTATTTATACACAACCATTGCAAAAGAGATATCTTCACCGGGCTGATCTTATTTGCAAATTGTAATTGGCAAACCAGTTTTTCTGGTCATAGCAATGTTTGCTTGATGGATGTTCATAATAATGTAAACCATTCATTTTCCACCCATTTGAGTAGTCATACTAAGGGCAAGATTATGTACCAGTCACCCTAGTCATTTGCCATATTGAAGTCTTAAGCCTAATAGTCGAGGATATGTTTTCATGTTGGAATAATTATTCTTGGGCTTGACAAAGTCGGCACCTTTTGAACAATATGTTTTTGTCATAAATATTTATTAAGACATTAGTTAATGGCAGTCTTATTAGTTAAATCAAGAATTTATCAATAGGAAAATGTAACATGGAGGCCAAGTTTGATGTTATAAGAAATCTTGTGTAATAGATGATATTAGAATTGAAAAGCCCAGCCCACATTTCTCCTTAAAACCCAGGTATTAAGGAGAGGGAATCTGGAGCTTTATAATCAGTATAGATGGGGCAACTTCAGGCGATGTGGGACACATTCCAACACACCCTCTTGGACCACAAGATATAGTAGCCAGACAAATGACACACTAGTCACAGGTCCAACCAAACTCTAGCACCAAATTGAAAAGCTCAGCCCACACTTCTCCTTAAAACTTAAGTATTAAGGAGAGGGAATCTAGAGCCTTATAACTAGCACAGATGGGGCAACTCTAGGTGATGTGGGACACATTCCAACAATTAGTGAAGTTCCCAATGCAATGCACATTACCATACCTGTCTAACCCACTCCTTGAGCCATGTAGTGGAATTTTTGCAATATATCATATAACTAAAGAAGGAGAATTTGTCCTATATTTTAATATGTGTAGTTTCTTTATAGCAAGCATTTTCTGTGTTGAAGATTTTATAAACACTTGTTGGATGGGCCAGTCATGCTCCATTTCACTTTTAACCTTCTGAATGTCTACTCTTGAAGGGCATTATGTGATGCAGGGACTGTGGAAATTATAGGACCAATTGCATCAAACTTGGAGGATGTGATACTTGTGTAAGTGATTCATCCGGATGCGTTGCTATTTTACAATATTGGATTGTTGTTTTTCTAAATTTCTACCTTTCTTATGTGGTAAAACCCTGAGAGGAACAAAATGTTATAAGAAATCTTGTGTAATAGATGATATTAGAATTGAAAAGCCCAGCCCACATTTCTCCTTAAAACCCAGGTATTAAGGAGAGGGAATCTGGAGCTTTATAATCAGTATAGATGGGGCAACTTCAGGCGATGTGGGACACATTCCAACACACCCTCTTGGACCACAAGATATAGTAGCCAGACAAATGACACACTAGTCACAGGTCCAACCAAACTCTAGCACCAAATTGAAAAGCTCAGCCCACACTTCTCCTTAAAACTTAAGTATTAAGGAGAGGGAATCTAGAGCCTTATAACTAGCACAGATGGGGCAACTCTAGGTGATGTGGGACACATTCCAACAATTAGTGAAGTTCCCAATGCAATGCACATTACCATACCTGTCTAACCCACTCCTTGAGCCATGTAGTGGAATTTTTGCAATATATCATATAACTAAAGAAGGAGAATTTGTCCTATATTTTAATATGTGTAGTTTCTTTATAGCAAGCATTTTCTGTGTTGAAGATTTTATAAACACTTGTTGGATGGGCCAGTCATGCTCCATTTCACTTTTAACCTTCTGAATGTCTACTCTTGAAGGGCATTATGTGATGCAGGGACTGTGGAAATTATAGGACCAATTGCATCAAACTTGGAGGATGTGATACTTGTGTAAGTGATTCATCCGGATGCGTTGCTATTTTACAATATTGGATTGTTGTTTTTCTAAATTTCTACCTTTCTTATGTGGTAAAACCCTTGGCATTAGTTAATTAGATTGCCTTACAAGTTAATGTTTTATCTTGATACCCCATTTATGTGTTGTTCAAGTTATATCAAAATTTGGATTAGCTTTTTATCATGGGGCACATGTGTGGAATTTCTGTTTTGGCTTGTTTGGTAAGATATAGAATCTTTCAGGCTTGCAGTTCATCAGTGAACAACTGTAGACATGATCTTTTAAATATCAGTGACGAATCACGATTGAGGGCTTGCAAAACTTCTATAATTCATATCAGTACAGGAATAATAAAAAAGAGAGAAAATACATAACTTCATATTGGAGAAAGTGGCGTTCTGAAGTCATATACATACATGTGCTTAACTAAGATGGTGGTGGTGAAATGTGATGTGATGTCTGTTTGGGTTGTACTGGAAGAGAGAAAGGAGGTCGGGGAAGTTGATGTGCGTTGCTTGGGTCAGGTTGTTATAGGAAACAGAGAATTGAGGGAATTAATTGTTCAAAGGGAGAATTAAAGGAATTAACTCATTGAGAGAGAGAGAGAGAGAGAGAATATATTTTGTTTATGGTGAAATTAACATAATTATTTATTTATTTATTTTATAAATAGCATAATATAGGATTCATGATTTTCATGAATGAGGGAAGTCTGGTGATTTGAGGCACTCTCTGACATTTATTGTAGTGCTTGGGTCACAACTAAGGGTATATTGGAATTAAAATGGCTTATTACATAAGATGCAACTACTTGAAGGGAGTGGGGGATTTTTCACTCATCCTTTGCATGAGGGAGGTTACAGTTAATACTTGGACGAGAGGGGTGGTAAGTGTATTTTGGGGAAGCAACAGGGGTACTGGGTGAAATTTGCGTATTTTGGGGAAACAACAAGGGTACTGGGTGAAATTTGCTTTCTTTCCGCCCCCTAAAGAATTGTTACCTTCTTTATGCTTATACTTTATGGCACTCTATTTTTTAGTCCAGACTTCCATTTTTGGGGTCATAATCCAGTATTAGTATAACACTTATAACTTGATACTCATGCTTTGAGAGACCTGAAAACACTTGTCACGATTGTTTAAATTGCTTGCACGGCCTCCCAAAGCATTTATGTCCACATTCATATTTGCTTAAATTCTTTCTTTTTCTATGTTTTTGTTTAGTATAGTGAAATGTTTTTTGAACTCTCGTTGCTTGAATTGAAGTCTAGACGAAAATGAAGTAAAAATTGATGTGAATAACTATCAGCAAATAGGAGGCTTTAGACTATCTTCATTTGTTATTATTCCGCAATTTTGGGCTCCTCTCCTGCTGATAGAATCAGTTTAAGGCCGGTAATTACTTCAACAATATTTACTTTTTGGCTGAATAAATATTTGTTGCTATACCCTCTTAAGACTTGGCTATGAATATGTTTTCATTTACATGAACTAAGCAGCTGAACCCAATGAGTTTTATGGGTGAAAAAGATTTAACAGTTCTGTCTTAATGACATTCTCCTTGAGCAATGTTGAAATAATTCCCTTCTTGTTTGTTTAAATGACATTCGGACTAAATGCCCTGTGCAGATGGTTCAAGTAAGTACTCACATAAAGTTCTTAATCGAAAGACTGCAAACAATGACCTGAAAAATATGTGATGGATGAATTAAATTATCTTCCTTACTGTTCTTTTCAAGTGTCCTATCTGATTTTTTTTTTAAAAAGTAGTAAGGCAAACAATTCATTTATTTATCTATTTATTTATTTATTTTTGGTATTGAAAAATCTAAAAGGTTCACTTATTTGTAGCAAGTGAATAACTTGGCATGCACATTATGATTCATAGAGATAATTTGTTTAAGAAAGAGGGGAAATAATTTTATGTGGATTCCTTAACTAAATCATGCCTTACGAAAAATCTCATAAATGATTGGAACCCTGTAAAGCTTTTACTTACTTTGTATAAATTTCTATTCTGCTCATTATATATATTATATTATTAGAATAGTTATTTTCTAGTTTATTTCTTTATTGACCTTCTGTTAATATTTACCTAAGTTGAGGGTATGATGGTCATTTCACTATGTTAGGGTTTGTATATATATTTTGCTGATGTAGAGTTAATATTTCAATTCCAGATATATAAAATCTCTTTTCTTTTTCTTCTTCTTCTTCCTCTTAAACCCTATAAACCCTAACCCTAAATTTCTTCATTATTCATTCTAACTTGGTATCAAAGCAATCTATCATTTATTAGGAAGTGTTCTACAGATTCTGGAAATCAATTGGAGGTGACTGCGATGTGCTGATGTTATCATCCGTACAATGACGTCAACATGGCATCAACACTGTATGGACGAAACCCATACCCCTAGGCTCGAAAATCTCTCTAGAGATTTATGGTGATTTTTTTTTATCATTCCTGATGTGAGTTTTCTATTTTCGAATGTTTTTCGTAGTGGTTGGGTGAGTATTTGGTTCGAATTTTTGCCTCAATCTGTTTAGTAGCTTCAATATCTGTTCAGTAAACTTGTTTTTTCTTCCATTTCTACCTATTGGAATTGACGATATAGGGGTTGAAATCCTTCTAGCAAGGGATAATTGATCTTCAGTGTTAATTTCTACTAGTGGGTTGTTGTGTTGGTTCAATTTAGGTCTAAATCTGTATGATAGATTTGTGTCTTCCCCACTTATGCCTGATTTGTCATGGTTTTGTTGCCTATATTGGTTGTTGTGGCTACTGGCTACTATGGATGGTGACTATTTGTAAGTGTTTTGCTACATTCGTGCTCGTTGTTGCGTATTCTGTGTGATTGTAGACACCCCATTTTTGACCGTCCTCAAGACTTGGACGTCACCGTTTGAACACTCGGTGATCATCCTTGTTCGTGTTCGTCTTGAGTTCCCAGAGGTCTCGGCTACGCGCCCTGCCTCAGGATCTCTCGACTCGACTGTTTTGTGTCTGGTTTTGCACCAAACACTTGTGTTTTGCCTTGGAGGGGCAGGGAATGCCTTGTGAGGCATCCCCACACATCACTGGCCATGGCTCGAGGCCACCGGCCA